TGTACGGAAGCAGGGACCTCATCATTGTAAGTAGAACCACCAAGGACTGCCCAGGAATGTGTGGGGGCCCTTTTATGCACGAATTAAATAACTGGGGGGAAACAGTGTGCCAACTCTCCCATTGTCTTGTCAGTGGGGTAGCATGGCAAACGTTGCGCTTGAAGAGAGTAAAGCGAACAATTAATTAAATGTCCGCATCAGGCCCGGCTCAAGTTCCTTTCGGATGGTGGGTGGGTGGGTGGGGGCGGCTGCTGTCTGAGCTACTGTCAAAGTGATCTTGGGAGGGGGGTGGCATAGGTGCACACACACAAGCGTACCTACATCGACACATCTGGAGAAGAGCCCTTTCGGCAGACATGAAGTGCATACACCGCCGGAATACCGGGGTCTATTTATCCCTAATGCCACCCTGTAAATATATTGCCCCACAGCAGGTGGTCAATTTAATGGCTACCTCCTCGCAGAATCTTGCACTTGATTCAAAGTTGGTTGCTTCATATGCCAATAAATCCCAGAATGAGCAACAGCTGTAGCCTTGAACCTTTCAAAGAGGGAGTATCATTGAGCTGTGGGGTGGGAATGCCATAGCCACACCTGGCTACAGAAGGAATGGGGAATTTAACTGATTCTTTCATGATTTTATAAAAGTACCTAGTCAAGCACCACGAAATTGTGATTAATGCACCAAAAATGGACACGATGATGAGTTAAGAAGTGTATTCTTATGTTTTCCAAATTACATGGGTATTGGATTCGCACTATCACAAACTGCTAAGTCAAATCACATGAAGAATTGCTATGAGCAATACTATGGGATTTTCTTAAAATGTTGATTTGAAATGTCGTTATATTTTGTTGGAGTGGAACTTATCCGAGAGCACATCCACTGGGGACATAGAGCGATGAAATCAGCTCATATGCAGGCGCTAGTAGGTGGATTATTGCCTTCCAATACCGTAGATGATGGTGGCTTGAGGCCTTCATCCAGCAGTAGATTGGCCATGACTTAGGATTTTTTGGGGTAACTGTGTTGTCGTTGGTAAACCATTACTAAATAATAACAGCCTCATGCAAATATTAGTACCATAACAGATTATTTTTCAGGGTACTTTCCTGTATAGTTCTGGAGTCATGTTGGTGTGAAAGAAGTTCAACATACATACGTGTTTTACATAATCGTTCCTTGTTATAAACTCAAAATTACAATGCACTAGTACATAAAAATATTAATCAAATAATATATTTGTGACCTGATTTTTTTTTTTAACGTGACATTGTTTTCATATTCTTATTTAAATTGCAAAAGACTTTTATAGTTCTCCTGAATATTTTAGGTAGTGGCATCTGTGTACCTTGTGCATGGCAGAAACAAATGGATTTCATGAAAAATATGCTGATAAAACATAATGTGCAGATTATGCTGGAAATGGCCAGAGACTTAAAAAACAAACGCGAGCCAAGTGCAGGATTGTTTATGCTACACAACGTGTAGAATTGTGGGATTATAATGTTTTATGTTGTGAGGAGGTAACGCAGGATACACAATATTACAAGTATAAATATCAAGTAAGACTTTTTGGTTTCAAATTTCACGTCATTTAATATCAATGTCGATTTAAAAAAGTTACATTTTGATAAGCACTAACATAATTACTTTTTTTCCGAGGAAATACCCACAAACTCATTAATGAAGTTGCCCTAAAGGCCCCCCGCAAGAAGCAGTGGGACAGTGGAGATACTCACCTCCCAGCTGCCAAACGCTCGCTCGCTCGCCACTCCGAGCAGGTGCATGCTAGGTGGTGCTGACAGCGTAAAATCCAGCACAAGGCCCGCCATGCCACGCTGCTCCAAAATTTATATAACTTAATAGCATTGGTTGAAATATTTATCCTAAAAGCGCATTTATCTTCTGTTTGTATGCTAAAGTATTCATTATCGCAGGGAGTCAGGCAGGACGGTACACCTTGTGAAAGGCGCGGTCAATTATGTCAATTTCCAGGCTATCTCTGCGGGGTGAAGTTCAATTTCAATATAAATGGCGAAAAATATACACGTCACATGACTAATGGAGTCCTGTCTCTGTGTGTCTTTGAGGACCCTGTGGGTGATGGCTATAATACACTTCAGCATAAAATTATTATGCTTTGCTGTTTGCTCATGTAATATGTGAAACCAGAGTGCATTTCTGTTAGCATATTACATTTTACACCGCGTAGTTATACTTAACATTGTAATTAATTCATGTTATTTTTTACTGAAATTGAAATTTATTGACATTAGCAATTGCTTGAATTGTTTTTGTTTAGAGAATGGCCCATCGTAGCAACTTTTCAAGGGACTTCTGATATGATACTCTTTGTTTTTTTCGGTAAAGCCACGTAGGTAAAAAATATTATAAAATATATGAAAACAACTAAATTAAATCACGACGTTTCAGGCGCAACACAAGCGTCCGTCATCAGGTGGATAAAGCATGACCTACTGCTGATGCAGACTGTTTTAAAGGTGTTTTTTTTTTACCTACGTGACTTTACCGAAAACCAAAGAGTAAGAATCCTTGCAGTCACGCAAGCTTCAAATCTCTGCTATGATGTTGTCATGTAACTTCTATTACTTTGTTATATATTTTTTTATCGGTGGAATTGAGCAAAATATGATTGTGTCCTTGTGCTGGAAATGGGAACCAGGCTGCGACCACCAATGCTTGAGAACAAAGTTTTAATCATGGACAGCCCTGCTCAACACAACCGGCTCAGAAATCCAACCAAATATCTGAATAAATCAAAGAGAACTTATAGAATTGCATCAAGCAGACAGGGTTTCGGTGTACAGAAAATCTGAGCTATTTAAACGTTGTCTCAAGCAATAATATTTCGAGAACTCAAAGGTATTCATACTGGAGGAATCCGATGAGCTATGAAGCTCTTTTCACAGATGATACCCTGAGCATTCCAGCTAACTCGACATAAACAATTGGCCATAATAATACCATTATCGGTGTTATAATGAAAATGATTGTATAACTCATAATTTGTTTCCTTTAAAATATCCAACATTTCCTTTTGAATATTTGGAGATTTTTTGATTTACTCCAATGGGCTTACTCCATTGGGTGATTAAAAATAAGCAAGCTTTTAGCTGATACAATCAGCTTTAATGAAGCATGTGGCGGAATTGTCTTTCAGAGCCAACTGTCCGCGTGCTTGGTGGCTGCCACTATTAGAATAGGGTGAAGGTTGGGTTAAATATCCTGCAGTAGACTGGCCACCTGCTCACATGGTGAGTTATTGCTTAATCGAGTATGGCTTGAAATCATGTGTGCCCTGTCAGCCACTGATACAGGACTAAATGTGTATTTGGAAAATGGATGCATAGGGTTTTTTTTGTGCTGTATCATAGATATTGGTTATTCCGAGTCTGAAGTTCTCATGTTCGTGCACAGCTCCATTTTTCAGAATTACCCCTTTGCAATTGAAGAGTGTTTGTTTTTTTGCATGGCAGATTGTCTCATATGCAGCAAGGCACTGCCATGTAGGACAAATGTGATGTAATTGAATCTGTATTCTTTGGGCCTTTTGGTAAAGTCACGTAGATATGTTGAAAGAAAATAACAAAAAACTACGACGTTTCGATCGCAATATCAGGATGACGATCGCTTGTGTTGCGATCGAAACGTCGTAGTTTTTTGTTATTTTCTTTCAACCTATCTACGTGACTTTACCGAAAGACCCAAAGAATATGAATTCCTGCAGTCACGAAAGCTTTAAGTAAAAATGTCATTGAATCTGCTTTATAAAAAAAAAAACTTGACATAAAAAACAACAATTAGAGATTAAATAATTTTTTAAAGCAGCCTGTATCTTTAAAGACTGTGCATGACGAGTCTATTGTAGTCACGTGTAATGAAATAACTATCTCACAATACGATTTAGGAGCACTATTAGAGAACAATGTGGCGAATTAACAGTAACTTGCTAATAAAACTGACCCTAACCACAGGAATGTGTTGTTTCAACTCCTGTTTCAGATCCACCAATAGAGACGAGCAGCAACTGCCTCGGCTCAGTTGAAGCAGGAAGGCTCTTTAACCGAACTATAAGCCATAACTAGGACCATATGTCTAGTAATGAGATTGTATACACACCGCACGTCAACAATGTGGTGTCTAAATATTCCATTATAGAGGAAGCTGGGTGCCTCAGGGGATCAATGTCCATTTAGAAGTGCTGAAATAAACCGAGCAAGCAACCTTTGAGTTTTGGAGCGCATAGGCCCAACTCTTCTCTCGAAATATTCTTGCTCGAGACAAAGTTTAAATATCTCAGGTTTTCTGTACACTGAAACCCAGTCTGCTTCTCGCAAATTGTTGATTTCTATCGGATGTTTTCTGGCACGACAAAAGGGTGGCATGAGAAACAATGTAATGTAGACACTGTAGATTGCAGTTGTCCCTCGTTATTCGCGAGGGATACGTTCCGCAGATGTTCGTGGATACCAAATTCAGCGGATAATGATATTTGGAATGAATTACCTGACATAAATACGTAAATAAGCTCTTAAATACATTAACATTATCATAATAACAAATCAATAAGAATTGAATCTTGACTTCAAGCTTTCGTGACTGCAGGAATTCATATTCTTGGGTCTTTCACGTAGATAGGTTCAAAGAAAATAACAAAAATAACCAAAAACTACGACGTTTCGATTGCAACACAAGCAATCGTCATCAGGAGAAAAAAAAATAGTCGTAGTTTTGTTATTTTTGTTATTTTCTTTGAACCTATCTCCGTGACTTTACCGAAAGACCCAAGAATATCAATACAAATTGGTTATAATAAACATTAAGGTATTAAATAACAGTTCATCAATGACCTTATTTTATTATGCTGCTTCGCAGGAGCATCTGCGTCACTTTATCTCATCACTTTTTCTCATCACATTCTCTCTCATCACTTTATATCCACGCTATCTTTCTCTCTCTCTCTCTCTCGGTGCAGTCTGCGCAGAGTTCCAGATGCGATTCGTGTGGAGCCAAAAACTCGGATAGCAAGTTCGTGAATGAAGAGGAAATGCCGCACTTTGCTTGAGGACAGCACCTTGAGCAAAGATGAAAGGAGGCAATTGACGGTTGAGTGAGCTATTGTGATATTTTGTTCCTTGGTTGTTCTCTTACAGAGAAGCGGTGACATACACGCCACTACTTCTCTGTAGGGAGTTCCAGATGGAATTGCGCATCAAAATGCTTACTGATGCTGGCAGGTGCTTGTGTCAGTGAGTTCTCGCCTGGCTATTAAGAGAAGACACATACCTATCTACCTATAACAATCCGTAACATAGTGTATTATTTTGGAACTCACACAAAATAGATAGAATCAATATTCTGTCAGATACGGCTCTCAAATGCGCAAAAAGACAGTCCCTTTAGGTTGTGCTTACAATTAGGTTTAGTAGAAAAAAACTAATATTATAAAAAATGTGGCTTGCTTATAAATGGTATTACCGTGTTGTGGGAGAAATATAATTATATTGAGCACCGTTCAGTACATTCTCTTCACTGGTATTCTTCCAACCATAACTTAATTCATAAGAGTAACAAGTCAGTGCTGCGGTTCAAGCTGGCACCCTGCGATTCAAGGTGAAATGTGAAATATTCCCAACCCATTAAACTCTGGGGACAGCTGCAAGGTTAATTCACATTACCTCAGCCGAAAGAACACAACTGTACCCGATAAAGTACACAGTGGAGTAATCCTCGTATTAACCTTGGAGGAAATGAAATAGGAATATAGCTCCAGATGTCTACCATAATCTTCCCTCTAATAAAAGCTGTAGATTTATACCAATTGCAGGTGCAAAGTGACAGTGTATACTTTGCCTAATTGCCAATTTCCCTCCCTCTATGCTGTTTTTACAATTGGAAAGATCACTGCTGCAATGCTTCTTTTTTAAATTCTGTACTTTTCTGCATTGCATTACTTTGTAAATGATCAATGTTGTCAGTCTGGTGTGTGATTTTTTTTTATTTGTTGCATAAACTAAACATTGTAATCGATGCTACTGACATCATATAATATAATTAAATGTTGTGTTTGTCTAATGTTGTACAAAGGCATTCAACTAATGATAGAAAAATGCAAATAATTCAAAGTAGTGGATGCATGACCGATAGACTTTCGTATTATAATAACCACACACACAACAACAATAAGGATGTCTGACCAAAGAACTTTTCCGAATTACAAATAATGCTCATGTATAGAAAACGTTGAATCGACTCTATGGCACTCATTTTAAGTTGTCGCAGAAATGAAAGTGTTTTAAAGGGATCTGACATAGCCTGGATTTAAAAAAACACCCAGGGAGGAGATGGGTCAGTGAAATAATGTGAAAATGCATTTTTTTGGAGGAAATACGGATTTAATGGAATACCGAAAATCCCTTCTAAGCATTTGTATATATTCCTGAAATAAATAATTTTGTTTTGCTTTGGAATCCAACAACCCATTTCGGAGACTTTTCTCAAGTTGCCTAGTGGCTTAGAGGTGCCACACATCACGTTCAAGTCGACACTCATCAGTTGAAATCCCTTGTACAGCACTAGAAACGTGATATCGAAATGCACACGAGTGATTAATCCAGCTTCTCAAGTATAGCGAGTTGATGGTCTTTGATCATCAAAGTAAACTTGGTTTTAATTCATTCAGCACATTTTCATCTTTAAGGACTAAAAGTGTGTGTGTGTTTTTTTTTTGTGTGGCAAATTCTCCTTTGGCAGGGCCAGTGAGAAGGTGGAGTGTGCTTCGTGTGGATTCGAGGGAGTGGAAGGGACCTCAGAAGTTGTTCAGTGACATCGCCTTGTAGAGCAGTTGGTCGGTAACCAACACAACAAGAAAAGACATTAAAAAAAAAATTCGATGAAAAAAAAAACCCTAAATATTTCAAGATCCGCAATGTCACTCGAATACAAGATGGCGATTCCTCTAGCAACATCCCCACGCGTGCAGGGCTCGGCTAACCTTGTGGCATTCGACAGCTCTTTTCAGGACTGATGCTTCGTGACGTCATTGCGTTGCTACTCTTGAAATGTCGAGAGTTTAGTTGTTGTTGTTGTACCGAATTCGAAACAAAACCCCGGCTCTTATTGTTATTTTCAGTTGCCAACCCTGCACTCGTGCAACTTGAACGTATTTGAGAAAGAACACAAAGAACCACAGTAAAGTGAACGATATATTACAACTGCAGTATTCCATCTGTAGTTTATTGACCATCGAAAGGCCACCAAAGCATGTTTAAGTGCAGGCAAATTGCATGCTGGTGGTATGGAAAAAAATGGCTAACTTTTACAAAAAGACAAACTATGATCAAACACATTGTAAGTGAGGCGTGTGAAGCCGGACCGAGAAAATGCTGACGTATTGCCGAGTAGTGTGGCAAGAAACTGAGTTATATTGCCGTCTTACATATATATACATTTTTTTTATCATTGACACCTTTTAATTATAAACATTCTGTTACGATTGCACATTTCATACATTTACAAAAGGTATGTATTTCTTTCATTAAAGTGTCAAGAATCACCGTGGTTTATGCGTCATTTGAGCCAGAAGTGTAGCAAAACAGATTTATAGAGATATTATTTTTAAAGTGTGCCGTTTTGGTACTTGTGACGTGAGGCATGGCCAACATCTGTGCTCGCGTTTGAAGCATTTTGAATGTATCGAATATGTACACAGCCTATACCAACGGACAGGAACACCTTTCGTTGTTTTGACATGAGAGTAAAAAGTCGTGGGTTTGGTGGAGGCTCATTGAAACCTGTAAGAACCCTTCCTCAACTTGATGCAGTGCAACGTCACGTGTCCGACTTGCTGGAGACTTAAACCATAGGCGGATATGTGAAAATGTTGGATTTGTGAACACCTATGGAAAATGACAATTCACACCATGCAGCAAATACTGCACTGAGTGTGATCGGTTAATTGGTGTGGGGGGGGGGGTCAGATATGCAATGTTGCTTTTGATGCGTCTAGAGTCGGCCCAGACAAAACGCTCTGCCAGGCTTAAAATGTGCATCCGTCCGATGTGCATCGCCGTGAAGAAGTCTGACTTTTACTCTCACGTGCAAATGTCCCTCGGTTAGGCGAGGCTTGCGTCTTGCGGCGCGTGTGTGGTGTGTTCCGACCATTTTAAAATTCAGCGGAATATTATTTTACGGCTGTAATCTCCAGTGGGAAATGTCTCGCTGAGGGACACGGAACGCTTCGCAAATCCACCCCTGACTTATTCTTGGTATTTTCGGTAAAGTCACGTAGAAGGGAAACTATAAAATAATACAAATTTAAAACAATACATTCTCACGACGTTTCGACTGCAACACAAGCAATCATCGTCAGGTGTGAAAAACACAGCAAGACAATTTGAAAAAAGTGACTTGTCCAGGTGCCAGCCTGAGCCAAGCAGACTTGCAAGGACCACAGAGTAAAACAATGAAGTTTCCACGACATTGTGTGGCCTCATGTAACGTCAGAAAAAAAGTGACTGGATGCATATTCTGAATAAGCACGACGATATCGAGACAATGGAAAAAAATGACCACATTCAAATGTAACTTTATTCCACATTAATGAACTCCATATATCCGTCGGGCATGACCCTGACACTAATTGCAGAATCCTGTACGCGATCGAGGTGACCTGAAGGACTTTTTCACATATGATGGGCACAGGTGTGAGAAATATTAATACGCAAAAGCACACACACAAACACAGCGATACACACCCCCACAGAGCAAACACACAGACATTTTGGCGAATTGCCCGATGATGCTGGATGCAATTACCAGCGAAACGTCGTACTCAAATTGTAAATGTTGTGGTTTCACGCTTCAACACACCGGTGGGCTAAAGCAGTGAACTATTTGTCTTTTGTCAACGTGACACTTTTTTACTGATTGGCCGTGTCGGGTGGTGAAGGGTTACGACACATTTATAAATAACGCGATCTAAACCCAAAAACGGTGATTATGAATAAGCTGTCCTACAAAGTTCAGTGGCAGCATGCTGATTTTATTGGAAGCTCGTGTGAAACATTCCGAAAGGAGTCAAAATGTATTTGTATAATAATGTTTTTCCTCTCCGCTGTACTTCTATGCTCCATAATGAAAAATATATCAATATTCACCACGTGATTTTACGCAAGTTGTATATGCTCCGATGTGATACATAATCACATTGTAACCTATGGCCTGCACGAGGGGACAGGATGTGTAGTCTTTAGAGACTCGAGTGTATGTCACTGCTGAAAATAGAACAAACACGTTAGTTATGTTGTTCGCTGTTAAACATACACACTTTTATTTATTAAGTGCTGGGAATAAGAATTGCTATGTTTTATTTGTAATGCTAACTAATACGTAAACAGATATATGCACCGTTCGTTAAGTTGTTCAGCAGCATTAATAATTACCCTATCTCACGAAAACAGCTTAGTCAAACATAGTGGCCTGCTTAAGTCATTAATAAATAATTCATTTAAAAATGGCGTATTCTCGTATGATCCATGCATGTAATTAAATGACAATTACGGTGATTTGTGGCTATTACTGTTAGGGGCTATGCTCTAAAGGTTAAATCAATGTCGATAAGCGAGATAGGGTCTCGTTAGTGCCAAAACTATTATTCACTACGTAAAGAACGCTCCACGTAAAACAAGTCACGCGCCATGCAAGTGTAAGCAATTCTATTTATCCGTTTTATTAATGTGGCCATTGCTTGCTTTGTTGTTATTTGTTAATTTCGAACTCGCAGCCAAGGTGGTGCACACGTGTAATCCGCGCGATCTTGGTGGCAGCAACAATCTGGTGCCACTGACACAATTTCTCGAATTCCACCCTTGAACGGCTGTTCAGCACCGTGCTTTAAAAGTCAATACCGTAATCCATCCAACGTACACGATGTAGGTGTTCAATTTTGAGAAGTTATGAGCGTCACATTTTTTTGTACACATGGACGTTTTATGAGCATGTTTTTTTAAGGCTCAGTTGACGCCATCATTCCTTTCAGGGTTGATACATTGAGTACCACTTTGTGGTTGCCCACTGGCAAAATTGGTCTTTGCTTTGAGAATGTGACATTTCCATCACTGGCTGAGTTGTGTATGGTGGAACATTGACTTTAAAATACATTTAATGTCAGGATTTCTGAATAGATAACAAGGGCTTGAGAAAAGTTGCATTTTAAACAAATTTGAAACTCGATCGTGTGTACGCCATGTTATTTATTTCACCTAACATTTTACAATTTGGGCATTTCCCATGTTTTTCAGCTTAATTGCTTCAAGTGCTTTGGCGTCCCTACGGGAGGATCCGGTTAATAAATTCAGGCTAATACAGGCAGCTGGTGGCTTTGCACCCTTTCTGCAGCATCCATATGCAAATAATCCAGCACGATGTTTTAATATAACCATGATTTCCACTCGTAAACCAAGTTGCTCTTTGAACATTTCAATATACCATCACCTTGCCCTTGCCAATAAAGAATCTACCTCTTTTGACAATCGAACCAGTTTCTCAGATGTTTTTTTTTGGTTCGCCATCGAACAAAAACGGTCACCGCTTCGCACACTTTCAGATGCGCTTCTGTGGCCGTCTGGAACGCTCTTCCTTCCGATATTAGGAAGCCACTGGGATATATATACTTTTAAATCTAGATTTAAAAAAGTGATTTTGTGTTCGGTTTGTTGCCTTTCCCCCACATCTATGATTAGCATGGTTGGCTACATATTGTGCAAAAAAATAAAGTTCAACATACATACATTATGGCATGATCAGGTGAAAATAATGTTGGGACAAAAAGTATATACGAAAGCCAATACTATAAAATGTATGCATTGACTTATTAGATTGCCACTGAACTTTGTTTTAGTTACGTGGAAAAATGTATTTAGCTAATTGAGGACTGAATGAACATTTCTGCTTATACCTGAGCTAAAAAAATATCTACACTGTGCCTGGGAAATAAACAAAATATGGAGTGGACAATGCTCTTCTCCAAAATTAGTGTATAGTTGGAAACTGGACTTATTAGTTTGGAAGCAATATAAAACACTTTCACTGCAACAAAAAAACATTCCATTGGCCAATTAATCAGAATGTGCACAATCTTGGAAGCTAAGCAGCAATTTTCCTAGATAGTTCATGAATGGGTGACTATAATGCATAACAGTTATTATAGGCTGCAAAGTTAGGTTGTGGTCAATGCCGAAATATCAATTTATTTTTGTACTGTCTGTGCTTCTATGCCCCAACATCAATGCTCCCCATCTTCATTAACCTGTACAGACTAGTGTGGTAAAGTATGGGAAAATAACAACATAACCATCCAGCAGTTGATTGATATAGGGGCTGTATATCTACAGTTTTACAAAAAAACATAATTTGTTCTCACCACACGTGATTTTATTTCCACTTGGGCATTCTACGTAAATTCTCACATTCAATTCATTACAAATAAAATATGATTTGGGATGCTTTCAAAGGGTAAGAGACAACTAAAAGCATGCATTTGTATGATATAAAAGAAAATCCAGTCGAAGACACTGCCAATGGCATGACTACATTCTTAAAACGGTATTACAAAGGGTATTAAAGATGACACAGAATGGCAGAATCTTGCATTACGGATATGAGTATCTTCCAATAACTAAACATAATCATCGTCATCATCGTCGTCGTCGTCATCGTCATCTGTTAATCGTAAATCATCATTAATCAACCGCCGTCTGAAAACTCTCGTTATAACAGCCGAAAACCTCACGCGTCTGCAATCCATTTCAATCTCACAAGTGCCCTCTTTGCTTGCCCCCCCCCTCCCCCGCCCGCATGTGTTCCCTCTCGTGGCTACTGGCCAGCAATAAACTGTGCAGATGTGGTTTAAGCTTGGATTGTCTCTGAACTGATCTTCTCTTGAAAAGGGGTGACCCTTAGTGGTGGCAGCACTGCCATTGCTGGCTCGCACAGCAGCTGCATTGCCCATCTGAAAGCAAAAAAAAGAGTCTCTCCGTCCCAGCTGCTGTCCACCCTGGTCATTCAGGGCGTAGCGTGCGTGGCTGCATAGGAGGGTTTCCCCCCCCCCCCCCCCCCCGTCTAAAATGAAATGTTGTCCACGTGATGTTAACTCGGAGTGCTGCTGTGGCGTAACGGTTATTAGCACACTGGATTGCAATCCAGAGGCCACGAGTTCAATCTCCCGGGCGTGGAAATTGCAACGATGGGACGAAGTGTATTAAATAACCCCTGCCTCTGTCCACCCACAAGTAAGAATGGGCACACTGCAGTTCGTCGACAAGCAGGTTGCGTGTGGTGGAGTAAAGCGGGCATGCCCCCACTGCTCCCAACCCGGTCTGGCCAGTGTGGAAGAGCAGGCAAAACTCTTCTCGAGTGGAAGCCCTTCCACCGGCAGTGGAATCAGAAAGCAATTGCAGGGCTGCGCCTTTGCTCTTTCTTTTTTATTCCCCTGTCTTTCACAGTTGTAATTTTGAAGTGCCATTTACTTGTCACGCTGGTGACTGGAAAAAAAGTGCTGTTGCAGACTTCCGTACAGTGCTCGTGTAGTGACATAGAATTGGCCACTTAGCGGCATAGCGCTGGCTGCTGGCAGGGAAGGGGATCTGCAGCTTGTAGCAGTCCTGACTGACAGCAGGCCACGTGATAGACCCGAGAGGGATCTTGGGAAACGGTTACGGAAACGACACGTCGAGAGCCCGCTCGTAGGTTCTAGAAGGGGGGCGGGGCCAGGGCGGAGCGAGGCCGCGCTGACAGAATAAAAGGGGCCCCGGGAGGGGACCTCTGGGCTGTCGTTTGGAGTGGGATCCTCCTCGTTGCTGTTGAACATCGTCACCATCACCGCTGTTGTCGTCACTTGTTATGTTGCGCTGCTAGATGGTAGTTGGCTGTCTTAGTTCAGCGCCGTCAGTGTCAGACGGCAAGTGTTGTGTGTAGGCTAGCAACCAGTGTAGAGTTGCGTATAAGCGAGAGCCAGAGGAGTGTGTAACAGTGTAGGGAGTGTATTTTTGTACAAAGTGTGCTCGGTGATAATAAAAAAACTGCCTCCAATAACTTACATCTCCAAGACAGCCACTACACTTACATTTCG